CTTTTCACACGTTTTCGTATTGCCTCAGCGGTTCTCTGGTCCTTGGGTGCGTTCCAGCGGCTGCGCCGCGCTGGGGGCGCTCCTGTGGCGCCCAGATCGTCCTGAACGGCCGCCAGAGAGCCGAGCTATGACCCGAATGCCAAAGGAAAACAATGGGGGGATGGGCTCAAGGAGAGATGCATCGACCGTCATGGGGAACGACGATGGGGACCCTGACAGCCGATCCCGCCCAGGAGCGTTTTGCTTCGGTGCCGGGGGCTAGCGCCGATCTCTCGGCGATGTCTCCACTCCTGAGCCAGTTCTCCCCCGTAGCGTTCCCCTTCAAGGGAGAAACGGGGGAGGACGCCCGAGTTCCAGAGGTCGCATTTTTCAACACCATGCGTTCTCGACGGGTTTTGTGTCCCAGGGCCCGCACGGATGGATTTGGAGGATCTGAGTCGAGAGGCCGTGCAGAGAGATGGGGCCGACGGTGCCGGTCGTGATAGTTCATTTTTACCAACGCCAGATTTTATGCCAGATGATCAGTCTAGGATTGACGATTTACGTCTTTCTATGGTGTTTGCCTGCGGGGGGCACAGGAGTTGCCCTCTTAGGACCGGGCACGAGCAGACATCGAGCTGGGGCTAGCAGGAGAAGGAGGAGGCAGAGGGGGAGGGCGGACCCTGTTGTTCAGGTCGTCGTCTGGCAGGAGCAGGATATTCCACTCGCCCAAATTTCGCTTGGTCGGACGATGAGGCCAGATTTTGGGGGGTCCCAGGATGGGTTCGCGACCACGCCGCGGCAATCAGGCAACCTGGCAAAACGCTAGCCTGCCCGAGTCCCAAGGTGTGGAGCACCCCAGGAAACGTTGTTCCATCAACTATGGGTCGTGAGGGTGCCCAGCCAACGACGGGCAAGAGGGCACGCACCAAGAACTGTTTGGCGACGGTCGGGCGGGCGCGGATGATCGTCCCGGCTGTTCTTCGGGGCACGCCGCCGGCAGAGTGGACTCTTGGCACGATCACGACTCCTGTCGACTGCTCCCTCAGACTCATGTAGCCTTGCCAAGTCGAAGGGGACATTGGAGCTCCAGCCCGGGGGCGTGTTGTGATCGGCTTGTTCTCGGCGCCGTGGTTAGGGTTTTGTTGCCGTGTTCAGAGTCGATGTCGAACGAGCTGACGTTTCGGTAACGGCCGATCGTTCAAGGTTGAGCGATCCCCACTGTGACAGGAACCAACGCCGGGGTCGGCACGACGCGAACTTGCCGTATTCTCAAACGTCCCCCAAAACATGTCTTCCTTCATGTAACGGGTGGTCAATCCCCCGCGGCGGATCCAGGCCATTCGCAAACATTTATATTTAGTTCCTGTGCGAGTTGTGGAGCGCGCTCGTCCAAACAGGACGACGTGAATGTGTTCGTTTTTTATTCATTGTTTTGGCGATCGGCGCGAGCCCTCGCCCCCCCCCTTCCCCCCCCGGAGCAGATCTTGGCTGTTTTCTTGGTCGCCTGTTTCGAGCGGGTGGAGTCCTTCCCCCAGGGGCAGCACTCTTGCAAACAGTCGCTCTCAGCAGAGGTCCACAGCCAGACCTCCACCCTCCCCCCCCTTTCCGCCCAATGCCGAAACGCCGAATAAGAGAACGCGCTCACAACCGTCGCAGCCCTCCTGCGAGAGGGTGTGACGGGCGGTGGGTAAATCCCCCGCGGCGGGTCCGGGCCACTCGCGAGCGTGCGGTCCCTCTGCGAGGCGTGGGACGCGCTCGTCCAAGCAGGACGACGTGAGCCGTCGCAGCCCCCCGGACCGAGGGGGTGAAGGGGGCCCCTCCCGCGCCCGATGGCCAGGCGCCGTGGCGGCGCGCCCCCCGCGCGCGCGGGAGTCCAGGGGGGCAGCCCAGCGCCGAGGCAGGGAGAGCCGCGAGGGCCTGTGGCAGCTGCACGTCGGTCGTCGAAGGTCGGTTTGAGTCGGGCGTGTCCCTCTGCAGGAGGAGTGCTCAAAAATAGTTAAAAAGTAGCATGGGGGCAACTATTTGAGTATGTTCGATAGTCGTTGGGTATTGTTTTGCTATTTGTTTTTTTCCTCCCAAATCCGCCTGTAGGGGGACACTCTCCTTTTTTGATTCATTGTTTTGCCGATTGGCGCGGGCCCTCGCATCACCCCCCGCGCCTCTTGAGCAGATCTTGGCTGTTTTTTGGGCGCCTGTTTCGAGCCAGGTGGGGTCTCCCCCACAGGACGCACAGTTCCGAACAGTCGCACTAAGCAGGTCCTGAGCAAGATCCCCCCTACCCCCCCTCTCCGCCCAATGTCGAAACTCCAAATTACAAAACGTTCACATGCCCAAATCCCAACATATTTAAGGCGCCTTCCCAATTCAAGGACCGAACAGCTTTTTCTCATCCCTCCTCTTCAGGGGGGGGCGGAAGCCCAATCTACTTCCGACGCCTTCCTACTTCATGTTTCTACCTATTTCTCTTCCGACCGACTGGTAATGTGTCACCACCGTCCAAACTACCCCAACCCAACCCGAAGGCCCTAATCTACCCTCAATCTCCAGTTGGGGGGGCCGGAGAACATGGAGAAGGCACATGTGGAACCCGCACCCCCCCCAACTCGAAATTTGGGTCTTCGTGTTAGGTTGGGGTGGTCTGATCAATCAGGTGTCAATGTGTGTCCTCTTCTTTGTTCTTACCTTGCTTCGGATCGCCTTCGAGGTTGCCAGGAGGGGGGGCTGCCGAGCTGTGTGGTGCATGCGCTTACCACACCAAGGCTGCCAGCATCGCTGCGGCACAGTGCCGGAGCACAGCCAGAGGCGGGCGCGGTTGCCGGAGGCCACGCCCTGGTCGCATCCACGCACCGGGCCCGGGAGGATTCCAGCGGGCGTGTCAGGTGCGGGCTCGGCGTGGCCAGGCCCCAACTGCAATTTTTCGTCCCGGTTGCACGAGGTTTGCCCTGGGGGTCTGCCCTCGTTGCATACTGTCCACGGCCCGGATCTCACCCGAGGGCTCTGCTGATGCCGAGCTCGTGGTGCTGCGGGTGCCACTTGGAAGTCTCAGAATCGTGCGGCGCCGGTGGACACCGGGTGCAAGGGGGTCTGGGGAGCGAGGTCTGCGCAAGCTGGTGCTGAGGTGAAGTTTTCCCTGGGCCTCAATGCATGGCCTCATGTCGTTTGGACGTGTCCTTGGAACTCGGACGCACTCTGCGCTGTTTCACCGGTGATATTCTTAATTCTATTCCATGCTTCTTGGTCCTCTGAGAGGGCCTGCGCGCCCAGCGCCCCTCTCGCCCGCCACTGGGTCGCCTCTGGGCGATGACGGCCTTGCCTGTCGTCGAGCTTTCAATGATTATTTTCCCGTTGTGCCTAATCCTCAAAAACCTACCATGCCATTTCAAAACAAATCTCGATACAACAAAGGAACACAAAGCAAACCACCTCAACCCTGTCGAGCGCTTGAAATCTTCAGATTGCTTCTCTACTCCTCCTGCCCCTTCCTCCTCACCCCTCCCTCCTCTCTCCTTACTTCTCCCTCGCTCCCTCCACCCTTCACACTCCTCAATCCTTTCTCCATCTCGTCTCCCGCGCAAGCGGGACAATCACGCGGAGGAGCAGGCGGGAAAGGGGGGAGGAGGAGGAGGAGGAGGAGGAGGAGGAGGAGGAGGAGGAGGAGGAGGAGGAGGAGGACAGGGACCAGTGAAAACGCAAGACTCATCAACGATGTTGCAATACGCCCTCCTTCAAAGTCCCCTCCTCGTAGGTCCCTACAAGGAGTCATCTTGACTAAGGGAAGTGCCCCGTTGGAAGACAACCGTTTGGAAGACTGGAACTGTGACTGAACGCCAGTCCAGGGACTTCAGCGCCGCGACTCACCGTTATGGTTGTGTGTTGGCGATCCCGAATCATACCAGAACGCCATTCCTGGGACTCCAACACCGCGACTCAGCGTGGCTGTTGTGCCCTGACACTCCGACATCGTGCCAAAACAGAATGAGAACCCTTGAACGTATGCAAAGTCTTAAGACGAATGAGCGCGGCGCGAAGGCGAGCGCCATATTCTGAAAACCGCCCGTCCTCTATCCGTGAAGCTGTGGCTCATCCTGAAGACGAACCTGCGCGGCGCCAGTGCGAGAGTCCCCTTGTGCAAAGACTCGGCCCTCCATCCGTGAAGCCGGTGCGAACCTCTGAGACCACTGTGCGCGGCGCTCAGGCGAGAGCAACATTTTGAAAACCACCCGCCCTCCTTACCAATTTGAAAGCCGCCCACCTCAGGATCATAGATGTGGAGGAGGTCGCAGGCGGAACGCCCGGACCGCCCTTTCGACGGGCCTCGGGTTGCGACAGGGTGGAGTTCTTCAGAAGGAAAGGGAATTGAGGGAGGGAGATGAACGCTTTCAAGAGGAAGCCCCATGCGTAAATTGCAAGACCTTAGGCTCCGACTCCATCGAGCATTCTTGGTGTTGTCCTGTTCTCTTTGAGGATTGCCGTCGCTAGTTGTACCTTGACTTGTCCAACTGGTCGTTCCGTCATGTATTGCATGGTTATCCTTTCAGCCCCTCCCTCTAGGCCGTTCCATTCCATGTGTACAGCTTTTACAGATGTCATGCATACCTTTGGTATCAGAACGCAAGGGACAATGTGCTTTGGGTGTGCAGGTCCCAGTTGCGTGGCGTACAGGAGCGAATGAAGTGACCTATCTGTGGGTTGCCTTCTCAGGATCTCCAACCTCGGCCCACCCCCCCTTCTTCTGCGCCTGATCTACACCCCTATGCGATCCTGTGAGTTCGGACTCCGAGGATGACAGGCTTAGGGAAATCACTCGCTCAAACGGTCCAGCTTAGGAGAGTGGCAGACGCCCTCAGGGAGGAAGCGAATGTTGCGCCAGTCGTGCCTGTTGCTAACCGTGCGCGTGATGGCGTGAGCTCTGATCAAACCATCCGTTCTCCCTTGCTAAGTCGTGGGCATGTGACACGGCTTTTTGTGTGCCCGTTCTTGGAGAGCGCGGTGTGGTTTTGGCCCGCGTTCGTGGCATTGGCCGCCGCCGCCGCCTCGCCCAGCTCTTGCGCCTCTTTCTGTTTTCCCTTCTGCCCCGGCCACGAGGCTAAAGGCCACCCCGGGGCTCGTGGGGCCCTTCCCGGCACTGGCCGCCGGCGGCGCCCTTGCTGTCGAGGCCGAGGCCGGGAAGCCGGGGGCCCACCGGGCGCGCCAGCTCAGCTGGCGCGCCCGGTGGGCCCCCGGGCGGCTCCCCCCCCGGGCGGCCCCCGCGCGACCCGGCGGGACCCCTCACGGCGGCGCCCCTGCTGTCAGAGCCGGCGGCCGCCCTCTCATGAGGCAGCAGAAGCGGGGCTTCCCGGCGAGCCCTGAGCGGCCCGACGGGCGCAGTCGTGCGGCTGCTCCCACGTGCTCGGCTCGGGCGGCGTGGTGGGCGCCACGCCTCTCCACTCGAGGGAAGAGACGCATGCACATGCACCGATTCTGGCCAGGCCCATCCTGAGCCCAGGATCGGTGCAAACGACCTCCTGCCGTGGCCAGGAAGGCCTATGTACCGATCCTGGGCCCAGGAGAGGCCTGGCCAGGATCGGTGCATGTGCATACCTCTCTTCGCCCGGTCCACACTCACCTCCTGGGCAGCAGGTCCCACGCGCGGCGCGCTGCCCAGGTCACTGCCGCCGAGTCGCCGCCACCCCAGCGGCAGGAGATTGCGCCTGCGGTGGAGCAGGGAGCAAAATTAGCCTGGCGAAGGACCCAGCCAAATGCAGTTGTAAATGCCGTCATTGTTAGTATCGCCTTCGGTGGATCTCCTTATGGGGCCACGAAGCGCGTGACGAGAGTGTCGAAATGGGGCAGGGCGGAACTCCCTATGGGGCCACGAAACGTGTGAGGGATGTGCCAAAATGGGGCGGCGCCGCCATGTGGCATGCGGACTGCGCCACTGGGACCTTTGGTGGAGCTCCAAATGGGGCTCCGAAACGTGTGAGAAGTGTACCAAAATGGGGCGGCGCCGTTTTGCGGACTGTGCCACTGGGACCGTAGGTGGAGCCACGAAACGTGTGAGGGGTGTGCCAAAATGGGGCGGCGCCACCAGGCGGACTGCGCCACTGGGACGTTAGGTGGAACTCCCCATCGGGCCACGAAACGTTTGAGGGGTGTGCCAAAGTTAGGGGGTGACGAGAGGAGAAAGGAGAGAGAGGAGGCAGCGGGAGGAGGAGGAGGAACGCGGGGCGCTGTCTCTTCGAAGCGAGGACCCAACGCCACAGGATGGCTGGGACAAATCAAGACAAACAGAGGGGATATTGGAGATGAGGAAGGTGTAGGGAGGGAGGAAGAGAAGGATCAAACTAGGGGTTGATGGGTGGTCATGTGGGGTCCCTTCTCCTCGTCCTCCTCCTACTTCCGAAACCACCGAAGTATGATCAAAGCCCGCCGCCGAAACCGTTCGAAAGTGTAGCCCCCCTTCCCCCGTCCTCCCTCCTCCCCAATGCTCCTCCACCTGCTCCTCCCTTCCGGTCCTGGTCTCTTGCTCCTCCCTCCTCCTCGTTCCTGCTCTTTTTCTCTGTTCCTTCCTTCTTCTATTTCCTCCTCATCCTGGAGCGATCATTTGGGGCAGAGTCCGTCATTCAGGACGGGGTCCCAAAAAGGAAATGCTCAGAGTTCGCCGACGACGATGCAATGCGCGAGGTCTCAGAGGCTGAGCCAGGCCAGAGCCATTCAATCCACATCCTGCGCACCGTCCCAAGCCAGCATGAGTATGCACATCCACGTAAGCCAGCCCCCGTGACACTCTGAGGAATCTTGAGAGGATCGGCGATCCTCCTCCTCCTCCTCCTCCTCCTCCTCCTCCTCCTTCCTCCTCCTCCTCCTCCTCCTCCTCGTCCCTGCTCCTCCCCCTGCTCCCTGCTCCTCTCCCGGCGGAGCGGACAATCTCCCCCCCTCCTTTCCTCCTCTTCTTTCCCTTCTCTCCTCTCCTCCTCCTCCTTTTCCTCCTCTTCCTCCTCCCCCCTCTCCTCCTCCTCCTCCCTCTTCCTCCTTCTCCCTCCTCCTCTTCCTCCTCCTCCTCCTCCCTCCTCCTCCTCCTCCTCCTCCTCCTCCTCCTCCGCCTCCTCCTCCTCCTCCTCCTGCTCCCTCCTCCCCTCCTCCTCCTCCTCCTCCTCACCTCCTCCTCCTCCTCCCTTCTCCCTCCCTCCTCCTCCTCTTCTCCTCCTCCCTCCTCCTCCTCCTCCTCCTTCTCCTCCTTCTCGCCTCCCCTCCTCCTCCTCCTCCCGCCCCTCCTCCTTCCTCCTCCTCCTCCTCCTCCGCCTCCTTCTCCTCCTCCTACTCCTGCTCCCTCTCTCGCGCCCTCCTCCTCCTCCTCCTCCTCCCTCCTCCTCCTCCTCCTCCTCTCCATCCTCCTCCTCCCCTCCTCCTCCTTTTCCGCCTCCTCCTCCCTCCTCCCTCCTCCCCTTCCTCCTCCTCCTTGTCCTCCTCCTCCCCCGGCGGAGCGCACGCTCTTGCGCGCCGCAGCTGCAGTGCATGCTGGTCTCGCTCTGTAACCAC